TCTATTTTTATATGGGGTTTAGTAATCAGGCTCTTATGAGGGTTTCTCTCTAGACTTCCCTTTTTAGAGGACTTATGAAGACTTTCTTTAGTTTTCCCTCCGTCTACCTAATACTATTTCTTGGGGAATGGATAGCATTTTGACATCAGAATTGACTGACAGTTTCCAGGGCCTCTTGTGGTTAAGATCTTGCTATGGTGGGCCAGGCCCAGGCCTCCACAGAGAGGTGGACCATAAAGAAGGCTGAGAACCGAAGAACTGATGCTTTTGAACTGCAGTGTTAGAGAAGACTCTTGAGAGTCCCTTGGACTTCAAGGGGATCAAACCAGTCCATCCTAAAGGAAATCAATCCTGAATATTCACTGGAAGGACTGATGCTGAAACTGAAGCCCCAATACTTTGGCCACCTGCTGCAAAGAGCCAATTCATTAGAAAAAAATCCCTGATGTTGGGAAATATTAAAGGCAGGATAAAAAGGGGACAACAGAAGGTGAGATGGTTGGATGGCATCACCAAGTCAATGGACATGAGTTTGATGCTTGGCGTGCTGTAGTCCATGGTACGCAAAGAATCATACATGACTGAGCATCTGAACAACAAGAAATAGTAACCATTTACTATTCTATAAATAGTAGTATTCTATTCTATAAATAGGCCAAATTCTATAAAGGACATAACATCCCAATATTACCTAGGGAGTTCACAATCTACACTACTGCTGGCTGTAAGAGCTAGAAGCTGTCACCTGATAATTTTCTGCATTTGAAGGTAATCCATTGAAAAACTCCCCATCAAGACTGTTAATCCAGCCAGCAATACTTCCTTGAGAAAAGTCATCCAGGTGACATTTTTATCACTGCAATGATAGCATTAAGGCGCTACAGTACAGAAAACAAATCGATCCTGAAAATGCCACAGATTCCAAGAGAATCAGAGTGCTTGCTTATTCACCACCTGACAATCACAGTCTGTGATGGCCTAGAGCTTGTCCCTTGGGTCATGCCTTGGACCATTAGCTGTCTATATCCCTCAAATTAACCTATGAAAGGGGCATTAACACTGATGAAGCACAGGGCAAATCTGAATCAAATCTCTACTGAGACCCAAAGTGGAAAATTCTGAGCCCCTACCTCTTCTCTCAACTCCTTCCTCTTTTTAAATTTCCAGGACATTAACAAAAGGTTCTTTTATTAGTATTATTTCATCTTGTCCCTCTGGGTCTTGTCTTCCCTTCCCCTCCCCACCAAGTCTAAAACACTAGGGATCCCTGGCCTCAAGGGTGCTAGCCTGTTACCTTAGAGACTGTTTCTTTACAAGGCAATAGAGTACAGAGGGCATGCCTTTGCTGCTTACCTTGGCAACCATGAATTGCTGAATGCTGTTCTCATGAATGCAAGTCATTCACTGCCATCTGGACATGCCCACAGGTATAAACATTTTTTCATGAAAGGACCAGGGGATACACATCGCATCAATAAATCTCTTGAATGGCAAACAAAGCCGTCCCATGTGTTGGAAAAGCTATATAACGTTAAAATTAATGTAAATCTCCCATGGCATTACTTCCAGGCAAGGTCAAACACTCAGTTTAGATATCGTTCAGCCTTATCAGGCAAACAGCATGGGTCAGGTTGGGGAATGAAATATGAAGAAGGGGGTGGAAAGAGGCTGTCACTGTAAAACGGAAGACCATTGAGCTGGACCCAAGAATAAATACACTATCTCGAAGAGTCTGGAAGAGCTTATTCACTTCTCACTAGCATCTCTCTAGGTGGAAACCAACGAAGAGTAGGCTTTTTTTTCTCCTCCTTGGCTCAGTGAAATAAGATCGGCATTTACCCCATTCAAAGGCATTTTTATGTTCTTCACAGACAAACATTACAGAAGAAATTCTTCACATATTTATAAAAGCACAGACCTTGTACTTCATAGGGGGTCGGAGGTGGGGGAGAGGGTGTAACAAGGGCTCTCTTATGTTTTCCTATAAACAAAGTTGCTATGAACCTTGGAAGTCATCATATTCAGCCTTAAACTTCAATTCTTCCAAGTGTCGACTTTTTAATTTGGATTTGTTATACTTGACTGCAAAACACTTTAATAATTTACTAGTTTCCCATATATGATGTCCTTTATACATCTATATCATGCTCATTCACACACACACACACACACACACACGCACACACACACACGCACAAATAGAAGGAAAATATACAATTCTAGCCACACTCAGGCTTATATGTGCCCAGTCGTGTCTGGCTCTTTGAAACCCCATGGACAGTAGTCTGCCAGTCCTCTGCCTGTGGGATTTTACAGGCAAGAATACTGGAGTGGGTTGCCACTTCCTCCTCTTCACAAGCTTATATAACCAAAATAAAATTTCTCCCACGAACCAAGACTTCCCATGGAAAAGAGAAGAGGGGGAGAAATCTTAGCCAAAAAATCTGTTGGGATATTCCTAATATGACAAACAAGGGCACAGGGAAGGAAGAGCCAAGATTGGTGGGCAAGGACAAACAGGGGTCAGAATTTTCCTAATTTTGCCACTTTTGAAGAAGATACATCTTCTAAAAGTCATCAGGGACCAATGAAAGAACCAGGGAGAGAGGTAAATTTCTACAAAAATTACATCACTCCTACTAACACCCCTGCCACAACCACTGATTAATCTGGTCTGGTCTCAAACATGACTTGGGATGGAATTGGGAACTCTGGAACAACACAGCCTCTTGCCATAACACGAAGTGACATTTTTTTTCCTTCCTTGGTGATAAAGTTTTCCAGTTCCGTAAAAATCTTTGTTTACCAGATATAAAAATGTTCACTTTCAAGCTGTCAAGCTGACCTTGAGCTTTTTCTTCTCTCCCTTCCCCCTCCGCCTTTTGCCCTTAAAAGTTCAGGATGTCTCCAGCAGTCACTGTTACATTCTGTCTAGCAAGCCTGGATTGCGGACAGTGATCTAAGCTCTGGGAAAAAACATGGAGTTCACCCAAAAATTGAGAGAGACATGCTCTCGCCCCAGCCGCCAGCTCATAGGTTTCAAAGCTCTGGGACAGACCTCATGAACAGCTCGGGGCTCTAGCGTGTAAGGTAGCAGCGCCAATGCAAACAGAGAAAGCACTTCAGCAGGTATAAACAGCAGCCGCACAGCAGGCCAGGCAGGAGCAGGCCATGAAAGGGAAGAAGCCAGGCCGCCGGCCCCTGCCTGCGTCACTCTGCTTAAGCCTTCTCCTGTGTCTGGGGATGCATGGAAAAAGAGAAACTTCCCATTTGGACTGAACTTTGAGGAAATGAGAAGTCTCACATTAAGTGAATATAGAAATAGCTTTCCTCTTGGAAAGAGAAAAGTCTTGCTGATGTGTATACACACACACACACACACACACACACACACGTCTCTGCAACAGTAAGTCACCACCTACAATCATTTTGATTTCTTGGACACAGCAAAATTCACCTTTGAAAGGTTATGGGGAAAATAAAGCCATTTTTTTCTCCTTTGGAGATTTTGCTCATTGACCTTAAAATATTCTCAGTGTCCATAGTTCAAGGACCCACTGCACTCTTTTAAAACACATTTGGCTTTCAGAATATTCACATCAATCACTGGTCTCAGGCTTTCGACACTGACACAGTTACTAATCTCAGTGGTTCCAATTTAGTATTTAGGATTGTGCACTTGGAAAGCAAAAGGGAATGGCCCCACCACCCCAAGTGAAGATCATCAAGCTTTCTGAACATGAAGATACATGAAGGGCATTACCACTGCCCACTAAAGTTTTAAAGCTGGACTGTCAACCACCATTGACATTACTCATCTACATAACAATTTTATAACAAGATGTATATTTAATTCCCCTGAGTTTATTAGCTACTCTATCTTCTTACAAAAGGAATTATTTATTTTCAAGTTTATACTTTTACCCTATTTCTGTTTAATTGTAGCTCACTCAGTAAACTTTAACTATCAAACAGTTGTTTTTCACTCACTCACTCAACTAGCATTTGTTGCTATTACAGAAATGAGTAATTTACACACTTATCAACAAGTAACATAAAAATCTCTTTGGAAAAACAAACTTCAAAATTATACATGATAAAGTTTGCCATTCAAAGTCTAAACCACTCAGATTGTTTTCATTAACTTCCACTAAAATACCTATGGAAGCACATATTGTGCTCTGAATTCTCTGCTGACTTTGATGGCACTACAACTCACAGAAAGCATGCTTCAAAGGGACTTTCCCCCATCTAGGTAGATTAAAGCATTTTTCATGTGTTCCCTGTTTTTTTTTATTTGGAAACTGAGACTTGCAAGAAATGAGCATTTCTATAAAAGCCACAAAAAGACAGTATCATTGAAGGTCAAAACTAACAACTAATGGAGTATACAAGATGATTGATATAATTAACACTGCGGAATGTTATATATGCAAGTTGTTAAGAAAGAAAATTCTGAGTTCTCATCACAAGAAGAAAGTATTTTTTTCTTTTTCTTTTCTTTTATATCTATATGGGATGATGGGTGTTCACTAAATTTACTTTAGAAATCATTTCATGAGGTATATAAGTCAAATCATTTTGTTGTACACCTTAAACTTAATACAGTGCCGTATGTTAATCATATCTCTATAAAACTGAAAGAAGAAAAAAATAAAGCTCCATCTGATCCTGAAAAATAAAACCCCTTATAACAGGGTATAAGTGTATATATTTGCCACCCAAGTTACAAATGACAGGATGGGACCTGCCCAAATTTGAAAAACTATGCATGGCCATTCAGAGAATTCTGATTATCAGCTGTGACTGGAGCTCAGTAGAAGAACTAAGCTTTGGTCCATGTGGGGACTGGCATCTGTCCTTCTTAGTTAACAAAATTTGAAAATCTATGAAGTACTTCATAATAAGCTCATTGGCTTTTTTCTGAATTCTGTTGATTAATTTAGCAGTAACTTGTCCTTAATAACACTAATTAGCCTTCATAACAAAGTGACCCTTACCTTGGTTTCGAACATTCTTGAATGACTTCTCAAACCTGGGTGAAGCCATTTGGACCTAAAATAAAAAGGGTTAGTGTAATGAGATATTTTTCCATTTATGGATATACAGAGTTTATCAACTTTATAAAACTCTAACAGGATTTTTTTCTTTTTGATGTATTTGTAAATTTAAAATAATTTGCACTTCCTAGACTCACTTATTTCCTATATAATTGATTTACTAATACCTATAGTGTGGAGCCAGTCTTAGAGATTCTGCTGCTGCTGCTAAGTCGCTTCAGTCGTGTCCGACTCTGTGCGACCCCATAGACGGCAGCCCGCCAGGCTCCCCCGTCCCTGGGATTTTCCAGGCAAGAGTACTGGAGTGGGTTGCCACTGCCTTCTCCGCTTAGAGATTCTAGTTTAGTAAAATTAAACATCTTACATTTCCTGCATTAGCAGGCAGGTTCTTTACAACTAATGCCACCTGAGAAGACCCAAATGTGCAATACATTATGTTAATAAGTTATGTTCTCTCAACGAAGGGCAAGAAGGTAGAAAAAACACTCTAAACGGTGCCCTGCTTTTTATTTGGCTTTCTCCGTTGCCCAGGTCCTCCTCTGCTGCTGCTAGGTCACATCAGTCGTGTCTGACTCTGTGTGACCCCATAGATGGCAGCCCACCAGGCTCCCATCCCTGGGATTCTCCAGGCAAGAATATTGGAGTGGGTTGCCATTTCCTTCTCCAATGCATTAAAGTGAAAAGTGAAAGAGAAGTTGCTCAGTCATGTCCAACTCTTACTGACCCCTTGGACTGTAGCCCACCAGGTTCCTCCGTCCATGGGATTTCCCAGGCAAGAGTACTGGAGTGGGTTGCCATTGCCTTCTCCCAGTCCTCCTCTAGGATCCAGATAAAAACCTAGATTTATTGAGTCCAACCTACATCAAGCATTTTGGGAGCTTGTTTACATATATACCTATCATCTTTTTTCTTGATCATAACAAAGCTATGCTTGTATACATTGTTATCTTCCTATTTTAGAAGCAGAAACAGATTCATAGGGTAAAGTATCATTCTCATTAGCATACTGTCAGTAAATGATGGAGCCAGAATTCCAATCTCGTTATTCTAAGAGCTGAGGTCTTTCCAAAACATCATGTTCAATTCTTTATTCTAGACTTTGATGTGCTCACATCTACCATGGCTGTGTTAAGACATAAACAATTTGTACATACATAAAGTATAAAATTTCTTTATCAGCTACTAACAAAAAACACCATGCTAAGGATGAAATATTAAAGGCATTTCCATTAAAGACAGGAAAAGACATAAACATATGTTATCAACATGGTTGTTCAACCTTATTCAGGAGATTCTGGTGAATGCAAAAAGATAGCAATAAAAGTATACACATTGGAAAGAGACAAGTCACTTTTGCAGACATTATGATTATATACCAAGAAAATTTATGAGAATCAAATAAAAATTCATTTCAGTAAGTTCCTCATGCTTAAGACAAATTTTTTAATAGTCTTTACTTTTTAATACAATTTTTAAAGGTTACTTTCCATTTGCTAAGTCACTTCAGCTGTGTCCGACTCTTTGTGACCCCATGGACTGTAGACTGCCAGCTTCTCTGTCCATGGGATTCTCCAGGCAAGAATACTGGAGTGGGTTGCCATTTCCCTCTCCAACTTTCCATTTAGTTATTATAAAATACTGGCTGTATTCCCCACATTGTACAACACATCCTTGAACCTATCTTACACCCAACAGTTTGTACCTCCCACTTTCCATCCCTATATTGTCCTTCCCAACCACAACTGGTAACTATTAGCTTGCTCTCTGTATCTGTGACCCATTTTTCTTTTGTTATTGAACCAGATTTTGCATTTTTTAGATTCCACATACAAGTGATATCATACAATATTTGTCTTTCTCTGCCTTATTTCACTCAGCAGATGATAAATATTTTTAACAGTTAACAGTTTTTCTTTTTATACTAGAAATGACTGGCTACTGGAATAGCTGGAAAATTTCCATTCACACTAGCAAAAATAATTTAAATGCCTAGAAATAGGTTTAGCATAAATGGAGCAAAACTTACATAAAAAAGAACTATAAAATATTAATGAATTACACACAAAACAACCTGAATAAATAGAATTACATTGTTCCAGGATAAAAAGTCTCATTATTATAAAATATGTAAATTGCCTCCAAATTAATCTATAAACACAAAGCATTCCCAATAAGATTGAGGTAATAGTTTGAAAATTCAAATGTGCACATCCTTAAACCTATCAATCTACTTTTTGGTAGCTTCTTTTTTAGAAAAATGTGAATAAAAAGTATGTCTCAAAGTTTCATGACAATTTTGTTATAATATTGAAAAGTGGCAATATCCTAAAGGTATCCTTAGGATACCTTTATACCAATATCCTAGTCAGTTAACAGGCTAACCATCAGATAATAAAGTACACCTATACAGTGGAACTCCCAGTGGCAAATAAAAAGAATAAAGAAGCTATTTCTATATGGACATAGATAGATCTCAAAATTGAGATGCTGAGGGAAAACATATGCTGTGTATCATTCAAGTTTTTTAAAAAAAGGATATTAAAAAAAAATCAGGTGAGTAGTATAAAGAAGTCTACACTTCCCTGGTGGCTCAGACGGGAAACAATCCGCCTGCAATGCAGAAGACCCAGGTTCAGTCCCCAGGTCAGGAAGATTGCCTAGAGCAAGGAATGGCAACCCACCCCAGTATTCTTGATCTGGAGAACTGGTGGGAGCCTGGTGGGCTACAGTTCATGGAGTCACAAAGAGTCAGACACGACTGAGTGACTAACACCATGGCTGCCCACACCATACATCTGTGAAACAATAGAAAATATATACACTGTTCTCTGCCTCTGGTTCCTGATACAGAGCTCCCAAATCCCTTGGAAATTCCTGGGTGACAGGAGTCTGTTTTGTTCTCACGAGGCAACTCTTTGTGGGTTCTGTAATAGCTTGAGGATGGGGGCTGGACACCAGAAAGACCAAATCATGATTATACGTTTGGTACTTTAAGGCTTCACCAACACCCTCCCCCACCACCATCTTCCAGAAGAGAAGAGTACTAAGTTTGAATTAATGATCAACATGCCTAGATGATGAAGTCTCCATAAAAATCCCAAAAGTACAGGGTTTAGAGAACTTCCAGGATGGTGAACACATCCACACGCTAGGAAGGTAGGACACCCTAACTTCACAGGGACAGATACAAGTATGCTTGGGATTCTTCTGGACCCTACCCTCTGTACCTCTTAATCTGGCCATTCATCTGTATCCTTTGAAAGTGAAAGTGTTACTCAGTCATGTCCAACTCTTTGCAACCCCATGGACTATAGCCCACCAGGCTCCTCTGTCCATTGAATTCTCCAGGCAAGAGTACTGGAGAGGGTAGACATTCGCTTCTCCAGGGGATCTTTCCAACCCAGGGATCAAACCCAGGTCTCTCGCATTGCAAGCAGATTCTTTATCATCTGAGTCATCAGGGAAGCCCACCCTTTACTATATCCTTTCTAATAAACCAGTAAACATGAATAAATGTTTCCTTGAGTTCTGTGAGTCATTCTACCAAGTCACTGAAATGAGGGAAGGGGTCCTAGGAATCCCAATTTATAATTGGTAAGTCAGAAGCAAAATTAGGGGGAGGCAGTTTTGCAGGACTCATACCTTAACTCATGGGATCTACACTAACCCTAATTAGCGTTAGAATTTAACTGAATTGTAGGACACTCAGTTGGCATCACAGAACTGCTCTGTGTGAGGTAAACATCACGCATGTTTTGGTCATATGTAAAGTATTCCGTAAGGAGAGGAAAAAACAGAGTCCTTCCAAGACAACATCAAGCTGGAAAAGGGCTGGAACATTTGGAAAAGGGAGCCAATATTAACATTATCTGCCTCTTTTACAAAAGAATATATTACATATGTAACTTTTAAAAGATTTAATGTTAATTCTCCCAAATTTAACTAAAAATTCAATGCAATACTAAACAAAATTCCATTCGTTTTCTTTTTAGAAGCTGACAATTGATCATCTGAAAAAAACATGTTGAAAATGCAATCAAAACATTTTTCTAAAAGAGTAAAGAGGGAAAACTCCTTTACCAGACCACACATAGGTACTAAAAGTTAAAATAATTAAGATAATGTGGTACTGTTCCAGAAAAAGTCTGGTAGATCAAAGGAATTTTACATGGGAGTCTGAAAACAGATTCATGCATATTAATTGAGATCTTACTGGTTACAAGCAGCATTCTAACTCTTATTTTTTTAAGCAAAACAGAAAGTGCATTAAAAAAACCCCAAAAATGTAAAAAACACAATCCACATACATGCATAATCCTAACAGCATTACTCACAATAACCAAAAGGTGGAAGCAACCCAAGTGTCCATCAAAAGATAAATGGATACACAAAAATGTGGAATGTTCATACAATGAAATATTACTTAGCCTTAAAAAGGAAATACATTCTGACATATATACAGCATAGATACATATTTTATCATAATAAAAAATTCAAAGGAAAAGCAGATGTATTGAGGATTACTGAATAACTAAAATCAAGAAGTCCATCATAGCCCAGTCTTTCTTTCCATGCCTTTTCATTGAATTTCTCTGCATACTGATTTTATTTTTCTTTACTACGTTTTCTCACATGGTAGAAAAAGAACATATGTCAAGTAGCCCCTAAGTTTTACACTCAGAGCTTCACATTCTCTCTGGTTCCAAGCCCCAAATATCAAACAACGGACTCAATAACAACAACTCTAAATAGGTACCCACACTGAACCAATTAAATATGACTTCAAGGATAGAGTCACAGTGAACCAAGAGAGCCAGACATCCTGGAGTGCAAAGTCAAGTGGGCCTTAGGAAGCATCACTACGAACAAAGCTACTGGAAGTGATGGAATTCCAGTTGAGCTATTTCAAATCCTGAAAGATGATGCTGTAAAAGTGTTGAACTCAATAGGCCAAATTTGGAAAACACAGCAGTGGTCACAGGACTGGAAAAAGTC